CATAATTCAAAAGATTTCACAAAATACCCTACTGGCGTCCCAAGTAGGTCACCTATATACCACATCAACATCCTGATGGGTCCACTTAATCGCTATCGACGTCCCAGATAGGTCCACGTAATCCTTGCAGTTCCACTTATACCTCACCGGTGTACCGAATGAGTCCACTTAATCCCTACCGACATACCGGATAGGTCCACTTATACCTCACCGACGAACCGGACGAGTTCACTTGCATACTTAAAGTATTTCTAAATCTCTTTAAACATTTGAAAGCAGCAATATCATGTACTCAACATATCACTGAAATTATTAACATATCACTGAAATTATTAATATGAATTTCACTGAAACCATTAATAACAGTCACTTTCAATAACATTTCAAAAATAACCAGTCAAATATTTTGGGCTCAGATTTAGAAAGGTAGCGGTTCATAAAGACATTCTAGCATAATTGCCAATCTAGTTTGTATAGAAACACTCTTATAGAAATTCAAGAATACGGAATTAAAAACATTTCACAGACAATGCTATAATCAATTGCAAAAATATCAGTTTTCAAATAATAAGGCAGTCATTTACAATGTCTAAATATTTAAAAACAATAGAAAGAAATCTCACAATTTTACTAAAAGAAGAAATATCACGTTTATTTCTAATAATTTTACAGTATCTAAAATTTTCTAACAATAGACAAGAAAATATAAATAAATTTATTTCTAAAAATTTACAGCATTTAAAATTTCTAACATAGGTAAAATATCACAATTTTATTAAAAAGAACAAATTAGTTTTTTAAGATAATGAAGTCACTTACCTAAAATATTTCAGAGGGAGCTTCCGATAAAAATTCGGCTAGAGAGAGAAAGATCTCAGTGTGTTGGGAGAGCTTATATAAAAGTTTTCTAAGGTGGGAGTCATCACCTCTCTCTATTTAAATTCTTAAGATACATTATTATATTATTTATTAAGCTCCACTTCATACATGATGTGCGACAATATTCTTATACGTGAAACCAATGGTTT